AAAGATTTGACTCCAGACCCATATGATTTCTTCTTGTCTAATTTCACCTTTTGTCTGAAAAAAACATTATATGCATGCCAGCCTTATGTGGAAATCTTCTGGCTATTAAAATGAAAACTGATCATGCATGGAGGTCTGTTATAAGATGGTTACAGTTTGCATTGGCATTTCCCATAACCAGAGAATTTTTCTGGCAAAGTACAAGCAAACATAAAGAAACCTTATTAGTCAATTAAAGTTTCCCTGAGCTTCAACTGCACACAGGTGGACTCCAGTCAAGTAATTATGTGACTTGGAGAAGAGAGGTGGTTACTTCAGAGATAATTTAGGTGTGTCAAAGCAAGGCGCTGAAAACTTATACATTCAATTATTTTCAGTTTTTTTATTTTCAATTAATTTAGTAAAATGTCTGGATTTTTTTTCACTTTGACCTTATGGAGTACTTTGTGTTCATGTGTGGCACAAATCCTCAGTTAAATACATCATGGTTCCAGTCTGTAACACAATAAAATATGAAAATGTCCAAGGGGAGTGAATACTTTTGCAAAGCACTGTAAATGCTTTACCTCACCATTTTCTCACAAACGGTATCATATATAAATGCTTTATTAATGCACATTTCAGTTTTAATAGCTTTTTGACTAATAAATTGTAACCGCTGAATTGAAGTTATGCCAGATAAAATATTAACACAATGAGAAACATCTGTATGGACACAGTCTTTTCTGCCAAAATGTATTCCAAAAAGCTTAAGGTCTATATCAAGGCCCATATCTGGGCCGCATGTTGGATTCAACATTTAGTAATTCTCCCTACCTAAAATTCTTTTGTGCAAGAATGCTCTTCTCCCATAGTGCATAACAGCTATTTTCTTCTTTTTCATCTGAGAGAGTAGATCATGAACTGAGGCAACAAATCACACACTGTTACAAGTATTGGAAGTGACTCTTGAGGTGTTTTCAGATCTAATACCTGGCTCAGTGTCTCAGTGCAGCTTCAAAGCAAGAAAGGAAATGAGGTGTTTGCTGAGTAGTTTGCTCAAAGGAATCATCAGGTTTACTATGGTTACTTAAGTTCTGGGTAAATGATTAAGAGTCATAAAGGGTCCTGGAAAACAGAATTAAAAATGCAAGTATAGAGAAAAGGAAGAAAAGGGCAAAATGGTCTCTCCTGGTTAGTGTTTTTCTAGAATAGTGACATAATACTAATACTAATAATTCCTTATACTTATGTAGCACTTTTCTGGCATCCAGATTTATAAAGAGAAGGATTTAACTGTAGATTGTAGTCAATTTAACTGTAAATACATAGATATTTGTTTAACCCTGTATGCTTGATTTATTACTCTTTTCACCAAAACTATGCCTTTTTTAGAATGCTAAGAACAAATGTGTTTTTGTGACTGGTGTCATTCTGTGGCATAGCGTTTTCGAATCCCATGAATTCACAGATTTTTCATCATTACTGTATATGGCAGAATATACTGTAAACACAGACACAATTTTAAACAGTAACAGATGCATTCCTGTGCTTAAAATTATATATTACATTAAAAGAACTGAATCTTTCTAATATTTAACACATAAGACTATAATAAAGAGGGCAGACATGGAAAGTATAAGGTTGTGCATTTAAACTAAGAACCGGAGACCCTTTTTAACTTTTTTTTTCTTCACTTTTTTGGTTTCAAGAAATGACTAGATGAGATCAATGGATATATTAGCTATTACTAACCAACTAGTGATGTTACTCGTTTGTAACCTTTTGTACTGTTGTGGGAAAGTCTTCTTCAGAGGAGCAGGACATAGTTTTGTGCAGATTCAGTTTTATTGAGTCTCAATAAGTACAACAACGTACGTTGGGTCTGCTCCACAGAACAGACAAACTGCAAGGAGTTCCCCAACTCTTATATACTGTACACAGCAGACAGGAAACAAAGGTACGACAATACTTCACACTTTAACAGATCGCAGTAGTTGGCTTGACACTTTCAGTGTTTTCCCTTGTTCATGGCGTCATCTGTTTATATTCCTCTTTTAACACTTGCAGCAGAGCATTTGTTATTGCAGCTGTTGGTACCAGTCGCTTCGCTCTAATGAATACTGTAAAACAATCTGAGTTAACAGAGCTCAGCAATTATTCTAATTATGTATTATTATTAATATTGTAGTGCTGGATATGTGCGGTATAGATATACAGTAGGTCCTGCTGGAAGAGGTGTTAGTGGGGCCACTATGGGCCACTCAGTCTGCAGTCTGTGTAAACAACAATAATATCATTAATAATAATAATAATAATAATAATAATAATAATAATAATAATTATAATTATTATTATTATTATTATTATTACAAGGACTACTAATAAAGTATTTATTAATACTATTTCCAAGAGGAAGTACTGAATACTGTATAGATACTGAAGAGACTAGAACCTCCAGACTTCATGTTGCCAGTAAAGAATAGCTCAAGACCAAAGGAACAAACTAACATTGATATACATCAAAGGAACAAAACTATGCCTGTAATACAACACAATCCTATAATTTCTGCATTAAGATCCAGTTATTCACAGTAACAAATGCAGGTGGAAAGTTAATTAGTGTGACATACAGTATGAGTAGCCAATATCATAAGACCAGAAAGAATAATCAAACAGAAAACTACAATTTTTCAGGGGGAGCAGGGATTTAACACTGAAATATAGGCTCCTTGTTAAACTTTGAATTTTTCATATGCCAGTAGGTTAAAAAAAAAAATATTTGTGAGCAATCTTCTGAGATTTGGGACATTCATGTTCTTGATTGTACCTTAGCACTGGATGGGAAAATATAGAGTCTATACTTTTTTTTTTACATAAAACTTAATTTAGGGTTAAAGTGATAAGTTGGAAACATAATTAGTGTTCCTTTTGGTTTCTGCATAAATTAGATCTGAACTGTGGTGAAGGGGTATATTGTCATGTCTCACATCAAATTTTGTGATAAAACCTTTGTGTTTGTAACTGAACCCAAATTTATTGCAGTTTTTATCTCAGAAGATTTCCCCCCTGAAAAGATTTATGTGGGGAGGAAAGACACCAACTGAGAATCGTAAAATCCACCTCCTGTGACGGCAGTTAAAAAAGCTGTTGAAGAGGAGACTGGATGATATAAATAGGGCTGTTCTTCTAAAACAGGTCAACACCCTAAAAAACAAAACTGGCAACCAGGACAGTATCTTGACCGGCAACAGAATGATTCTCCAAACGGTTTCCAAAACCTCCTTCATTATCTGCTTGTGTCTCACAGTGGTTACCAGCACAGAAAGCACCTGTCCAGGTAAGTCTGTCATCTAATGAACTGGCAATTCTGATGATCATTGTCTTTATATAGAAAAGAAGGTGGCAGTTTTCTATTTAGTGTCCTACTTCATTGTCACTTTCTTTCTTGTCAATGCTGTCTAGAATTATTATTTGCTGTGATAACTAACAGTGTTAGAAAAAAAGCAAAACGTAAGATCTGGGCTCTACACATCCCTCTGAAGGATTTTTAAAAAACAAATGAGGCATTTTGTTGTACTTAGTGAAGACCACAAATATTAAAGGTTTCTACTATAGGCAGCACCTTCCTGTTATTTCCTTTGTTCCTTTGTTTTCTTCGCGTTATACACTGTATTGTCTCTGTTTTATCATTTTCAGCCAAATTTGTTCTCTATCTAATTTACATTCATGTTTATCATGCTATAAATATCACACAAAAAGTATAGAAAAGGAGCTTTTCAAAGCAGACTATGAGAAAATGTGTTAGGGAAGTGTTTAACAGTTGTGTTGTAATGTGGAAGGTGTTATGGCATCCCTTTACAGTTAACTATGAAATCAGCATAACACAACACAGGCTAGAAAAACTGAAAATTTAAATTCCCAAAAAAGACCATGAAGACTTATGCTTTAAAAACATGAAACAAGCTAGTGTCAACACTTGTAGTTCTTGGGACCTTCAAGGCAAGGAAGCAATAGAGGTGTTTGCTGAGTATAAGGCAAACCAAGACACATTGATCATAGGAATCATCACCTTGTTTAATTAAGTTCTGGGTAAATGGTTAAGAGGAAACAAGGAACAGAGGATAAAACAGGCAGGTAGGCAGAGAGAAAGAAGAACGAGAGAAAAGACAAGACACAACGCAAGAGGAGAAGAGACAGTGCCAGATGGTAGGTCCTTGTTCTGATCAGCCTTTATGACCAGATTCAAGTTAAATATTTGAATCTTATTAAGGAAGTTCGTCATTTTGTTGTTTCTAGGAAACTCTAATTTCCTGTATAAAGAATCCCTCGATTAAAAACAGTCTCTCCGGTTTAGTGGATGCATTTTTAGAAGGAAAATAGGTTCACATTCATTTTGTAGCAGGAGATGTAACATTATGCTGCATTCTGTTTGGGCAGAAACAGGTTTATCTCTATTATTGCGATATTTAGGCATAATATGGTATTGGAAACCACTCAGGTATGTTCATGGCAAAAGCTTTACAATTTGGGGGTTATGAATAATTATTTTAAGCATTGATTAATCTGCCCATGCTATATCTGGTATTCTGTATATTGTAACCCCCTATTTGTAACAATATTTTTCAATTCCTCATGTAAGGAAGGTGCTGGCTTACTGGGAAACAGATAAGGGGAATGGCTATAAGGTGGCTGTGTTCTGTTATGGAAGCCACTGATGGAAGAGAAGTGCTCTGAAAATAGAAGCAGCTTAAGGAGCAGATTTCTAGAAGGAGATTTTAGGAAGAGGAGAAATCCAGTCAGGATCAGTTCCCTGCAGAAGCCCAGCAGAGCTGTGCTGCAAGCTGTATACTCCTAGGAAGCTCAATGACATGCTTCTTTGGTGGCGTCTACAAAATATATAGATGACCTGAAATGAA